AAAAATAAAAATAAACAAATAAACTCGTCTGGGGCTGAGGCTTTCTTTGCAGGAAGATTTTAAACTACTCTTTCATTCTGGTAAGTGGCTGCAGGACTATTTACAGGTTCTCTTTCTCCTTGAGTCAGTTTTTGGCAGTATTTTTCCACGAATTTGTCCATTTCCTCTAAGTCATTCATAATGTTCTCTATCTTTATAATTTCTGCTGCATCTCTAGCTCTGCCTCTCTTTTCATTCCCAGTAGTAGTATTTGCTCATTCTCCCCTTTTCTCAATAAAGGTGAAAGACTTTTGCCAATCATTTAGTCTAGCAAGGAAAAAACGTGTGGGTCTTCTCTGCTGTGGCTTTGTTGTCAGTTTCATTCATTTCTGGGTTTGGTTTTGTTTTGTTTTGTTTTTTTGAGACAGGGTCTCAGTCTGTCATCCAGGCTGGAGTGCAGTGGTGTGATCTTGGCTCACTGCAGCCTCAACCTCCGGGGCTCAAACAATCCTCCCACCTCAGCCTCCTAAGGATCTGGGACTACAAGCATGAGCCACCACACCCAACTAATTTTTTTATTTTTAGTAGAGACGGGGTCTTGCTATATTGCCCAGGCTGGTCCCAAACTCCTGAGCTTAAGCGATCTTCCCCGCTATTGGCCTTCCAAAGTGCTATGACTGCAGGCACCAGCCACTGTGCCCGGCTATTTTTCACTCCTATTTCTTCTAATACAGTCACTGAGGACTGTAAACTCCCTTCTACACACCACTTGGGATCTACTCCACAAGCATGGATCTGCCGCGCCCGCTGCCATCCGGTTCTAACTCTTTTCTCACTTCCATTGATTTCTTCTATAACCCATGAGTTACGTCAAGTGCGTTTCTGAAATTTCTTAAACACATGAGGTTTTGTTTGCTTTTTGGTATTGAGTTGTGGTCAGAAGATAGGATCTGTATGACACTCACTTTTTTTTTTTTTTTTTTTTTTTTTTTTTTTTTTTTTTGAGATGGAGTCTCGCTCTGTCGCCCAGGCTGGAGTGCAGTGGCGCGATCTCGGCTCACTACAAGCTCCACCTCCTGGGTTCACGCCATTCTCCTGCCTCAGCCTCCCGAGTAGCTGGGACTACAGGTGCCCGCCACTATGCCCGGCAAGTTTTGTATTTTGTTTAGTAGAGACGGGGTTTCACCCTGTTAGCCAGGATGGTCTCGATCTCCTGACCTCGTGATCCACCCACCTCAGCCTCCTAAAGTGCTGGGATTATAGGCATGAGCCACCACACCTGGCCATGACACTAATTCTTTGAAATGTACTGGCATTTGCTTTCTGGCCTATTCTGACAGGCTCCATGTGTGCCTGAAACTAATATGATTTCCCAGCTGGGTGAGCCCCATTCCACAGACGTCCCTCCACTCAAGCCCAGGAACCAGCACCCTCAAACCTCAGGTATCCTTATTGTTTCCTTTTGAGTCTACTTGACCGATTAACCACTAAGATGATTACCGAGCCCTCTGCCTAGGATGGTGGGTTTGTGAATTTCTCCTTGCAGTTGGCTGGGTTTTGCTGCAGCTTGTGGCTTTTGGAAACAGCTAACTTCATGGTGTTGCCCCATTCACGGGAGATCCCGTCCGTCCTTGTGTGTCAAGCTTCCCGCTGTGTGTGAACTCACTGCTACGCCCTCCATCTGAGCCCACGGCCTCAGGCACCTGGCTCACTGGACCTTCCGGGCCTTCACACCGGCTGTCCTGAGTGGAACTCACTTACTTCCCTAGATCCCATGCCCTCACCTCCTGAGTCTAGAGCAGCACCCAAGAATTGGCCAGTTCACCTCTGTCAGAGAAGAAAGTGCATGCCTGCCCAAGACCTGGGGTTTTCTGGTACAGAGGGGTCCATGTCTGCGTCTGCCAGGCCAGGCATCAGGAGGCCACGGGGCCAGCATGGGGCTCAGGGTCCTCAAGGGAGACCTCCCTCCCTCCACCCAAAGGCCAGCCAAGGGGAGAGCTGAAATTCCTGCTCTTGCTGGGGGCAGGGGGTCCCATCTGCAGGGCTGGAACAGCAAGAGTGCCCCTCCAGTGTCACCCATGCCCCCAGCATCTGCCCCTCCTCCCTCCAGGGCACTGGCTGAGATGCACATGCAGCGGCGAGCGCGAGAACGAGAAGCTCCTGCTGCACCAGAGGACAGGCAGGCCCCTCTCCTGGTGAGGGCCACCGCCTCAGCGGCCACAGCTGTCTGGGCCTGGGAAGCACCTGGGCAGACAAGCTCTCGGCAGAGGGAGCTCCCGGGCTCTCAGCTGGGCTGGGCTGCCTTTCTTCCAGCATCCATGCTCGGGGGCAGATGGCCAGAGAATAGGCCCAGGACAAGGAACAAAAGGTTGGACAAGCACGGGGCCTGTGACCGCAGGGGGCTGGCTGGCTCTGAGGTCCTGGCACAGAGGCTGCTACCCCAGGTTGCCAGGGAGGCTCCCAGCCAGGCCATCCCCACCTCCCCGGGTCTTCAGAGGCTCTGGGCAGGGCTGGAGGGAACAGTGGGGTGAGGACGGCCCTCGAGGGGCAGAGGGAGCCTGGGGGAGGATGGAGGCGTATTCAGGAGAAGACACAGGTGTGGATGCCCAGGGAAGGATGGGGAAGCCCTGCCTCTCTCATCCCAGTATCCCTGTCCCACCTCACCTCAGCCCCTTCCCCTCAGGAGCCCTCCACGGGGACAGAAGTCCTGCAGTGGGGAAGGCCCCAGGAAAGGGGGAGGGCTGGGGGCCTCAAGGCAGCCCGGCGGGGGTGGGCCGCTGCAGCAGTGCTGGGGGCTAGGGGCAGGGAGGGGCCTGTCTGGAGGATCCCAGCCTTGGAACTGAGGAGTGGCCTCACAGGCCTCTGGCATAGGAAGGGAGCTGTCCCAGGGTACCAGGCATAACCCCGGCCCTCCCACCACGTCTGCCCAGCCCAGTGGATCCTGCAGGGGCTGACCACTGAGGTGGGTACCCAAAGCAGGTCCCAGGGACCCAGGGGCTGCGCTGTGCTGCAAGACCCCCATGCCCTCCATCCACCTGTCTGCGGCTCTGAGGTCCCTCCGCAGAGGGCCCTGGGACCCCCTGCCTGTGGCCAGTCGAGGAAGGACCAAGTCCAGGCCCACCGTGGGTGACACAGCTGAGCAGCCCCCACCCCACCAGCACTTCCTGCAGCTTCAGCAGCAGCCTCTCTCCATCCCCAAGGGGCCAAGCATCCACCCGAGGCAGAAGGCCAACCCCCCAGGCTGCCCCCGGCCTCAGGCAGGTGACCCCGCAGGGCCAACCAAGGGTCTCAAATGCCCCTGGTGAGGGTCCTGGCCCCCCATCCCAGGAGACACACAGACACGCCCAGGGGAAAATACAGCCCTGGGGACAAGCCACTCCCACACACACGCCACCCTGTGCCAGGCAGACAGGGGACCCATGGGTGCCCTGAACCTTCCCTCTCATCCCACCCGCAGAGGACACAGCAGGTCGGCACTGCAGAAGAACCGGCTGCCCTGCCCTGCCCCGCTGAGGGCCCCACCCACCAGACACCCTACGTCAAGGGCACCGAGGGGAACGGCCATGGGGCCTCAACCCCACTAACCCACAGGAGGCGCCTCCAGCCCCACTAACCAGCCAGCGGGGAGGGTTCTGCCCAGGAGAGCCAGAGGTTTGGGGAAGGAGGAGATGAGGTAAGGCAGGAGGTGAGAGAGGTGGGGAAGCCCTGGGGGAAGGTGGCAAATCCAAGGGTTGCAGGCAGGACCAGAGGCTCCGTCAAGGGAAGGGGAGCGTCGGAGGGGTGGGAGGGGGGCTGGTGACTCCACACGTAAACCCCAGCTCACCCCACATCCCCTTGCTCCCATACACCCAGGTCAGGCTCAGAGCTGCTGAGGGGCCCGAGGGCCCTGGGCTGGGGTAGGAGCAGAGTCACTGGTCTCCCTCCTCCTGCCTGTCCTTGAAGGGGACTCAGGTAGGGGGACTTGGCTGGGACCTGTTCCAGACTCCAGGTGACACACTGGACAGATCTCCCAAACTTGGGTCACCATCCAGCGGGAGGGGACACTGGGTGGACTCAGCCGTGCCCTGGAGAGTGCCTGCAGGGAGGGGGCGAGGCCCCACCTGTCCCCAGGGCATCCAGGCCTGGGTGGGGACCTCGGGGTCCTCTGCAGCCACGGCCACAAGCCCTGTCTCATCTCTGACACCCTCCTCGGCCTGTAGCCGAGGGCCCAGCGGGACCCTGGCAGGCCTGACACCACCACCATGCCAGCCCCACAGCCCCGTCTCCCATTGCTGTCCAGGCTGCCGTGTCCTGCAGGCCAGTGGCCGGTGCCCTGGAGGCCACTCCGGCCCCACAGCCAGCCTCTGACCTGAGGGACCCTGCCCTGTACTAAGTCATCTCAGAGCACCACCCAGCCCACCCCAAATCCCAACACCTGGATGGTGACCCGACTACGCAGGTGACTGTGGCTTTTGCTAAACTACCCGGAGCTGATCTCCACAAATTTAACCCAAAATACAACTTTCCTGTGCAGTCTGGCAACTGTGTCAAAGTCCAATGCCAGAGGCCCTCCCTTCCCTCCACATGAGGCTAGCGGTGGCTCTGGGGAGCAGGTGACACTCTCTTGAGCCCCTGTTCCATCAGTGCCAGCACAGGAGCCACCCAGGGCCTGCCAAGGACAGGGGGGCTCCTGACCCCGGGCCAGCACAGCAGGACAGTAGGCACTGCCTCAACGGAGGAGGGCAGGGCTTGGCCAGGGACGGGGCTCCCACTTGCTAAGGCCCCAAACTCCCCAGCCCCATGCCCCGTCTTGCAGGGCAAAGGCAGGAGGGTCACCTGAGAGCCAGAACCCCACTTTCACCCAAGCAGCTCGGCCGCAGGAAAGTTGATCCAAAAAAACCACATCACTCACATCACTCGCCACCTTCGCCCACCTTTGATCTGTGGCCCATGTCAGTTAAGAAAGTGGCATTGATTAACTTCAATGATCTTTCATGAATTTTACTGGGGAAAAAAAAAATCAAGAAAATTTCAAAAAATTATTAATGATTTCTTTTGCTATCACAAACTCGAAACCTCTACAATTTCATTAAAAGTGCAGGAATGAAAAACAGGAAATCCCTTGCCCTGTCTGGTTCTGAGCCAGAGACCAGAGGCCCGAGGTGCAGCCAGGCCCACTTCAGGTGGTGGAAACGAAAATTAATCAGAAGTCAGACACTCAAATAAAACGCCTCGTATTAAACTCACAGAGTGGGTGCTGACGGGAGCTGCCGCCAGGACGGCCTTCCCAGAGGCCTGGCACCGCTCCCCACCTGAAGGCACAAGGGCCCTCCCAGGCCACGGGCAGCAAGGACTCACGGCAGCTCGGCCTGCCCCAAAGGCCATCACCGCCACCGGTGGAAAACCAGGCAACCACAAGCCGGTGGTTCACTGGCACGTGGGTGACAAGGTTCATGGCCACAGATGCCCATGCACAAGCCCCAAGCACCATGACCCCTCGGGAAGGAGGGGACACACAGGGCCAGTGGGGCCCTGACCACCAGCGCCTGGGGTTTCCTAGCAACTAAAGCACTCAAGGCGCCCTGCACGGCAGACTTTTCATGAGGAACACAGACCCGTGTTAATCTGTTTGCAGATTCATGTTTAATAAAATGCCCTTCTGAAATGCATTCAAAATAGAGAAGCTTTCTCCCGAACTGCAAAAGCCATAAAAATGCAAAATACTTCTTTAGGAAAAACTGAATCAAAATTATGCCTCAATGTTCCAAGTCACATGAAACCTACTCTGTGCCCCAGGGCAGGTGCAGGCGGCAGCAGTGGCCCAAACCAGCCCCCGCCAGCCTCAGTTGTTCTCGATCTGCTCCAGGTCCAGCTCCCCGCGGGCCCGGAGGAAGACACCCTCCTCCCCAGCGCTGTCCCCATCACTGGGGTCCCCGTTGCTCCTGCTCGAGCCATCACCGGTCACCGACTCCCTTGAGGCCCACAGGTTGGGGTGGGCAGGGCTGGTCCTGAGGCCCCTCTGGCTGCAGCCAGGCATGGTGATGCCAGGGAGGCCCCGGGATTCACACGGGGAGGACACAACCATCTTCACCGGGGCGTCATCCTCATTGTCATCTTCGTAATTGAGGGAGCAAAGGCTTTTTGAATTTTTTAAAGTCTGCAATAGAAAAGATATGGGCTTAAAGCATTTCTAGCAGATCACTTGGGAGGCAGCGTCCCACCAACCCATCAAGGGCTCGGTGTGCTGGAGCTCTGGCCATCCCCAAGACCACACAAAGCAGGGGCTTGTCCCCTGTACATCAGTCACAGCTCGCAGAGCCCCTTCCTCAGACCCTGCCCACACATGCCCTGGCCCCTTAGCTCTCCTCAGCCCCTGCCCAGCTGGTGTGGGCAGAGACGCACAGCCTGGCCCTGCCCAGACCAAATGGACCAGGCTGGTGGGCACCTGACACCTAAGCAAGCCTCAAGACGCCCAGGGGCTCACAGAGGACAGCCTTGTCCCAGTCTTGTCCTCGGCAGGTGGCCTGGCCAGGGAGGGTGCCTCGTGCCTCCACTTCTGACAACAGCCCCACCCAGGGCCGCTCTCAGCAAGCACCTCACAGCCACCTCTGAGGCCCTGCAGTGGCTCCGTCTCTCCTCCACCTGCCCCCATAAGGCCCCTGGAACCCCACCTCGTCGATGTCCTCACGGGCCCGCCAGACGCAGCTCCCACCTTCTCTGTCCTTGCACCTCCTCTCCTAATAGTTACTCTAATAGAAACGCATGCAAATCCTTCTCATCTCAAAACACATGCAACAGACAGGTGCACACACAGGGGTCTCCCCTGGGCAAGGCCCACCCTCGTCCCAGGCGGGCAGCTTCCAGTACCTCCATGCCACGCCCAGGCCTGTCCACAGCAGGTCCCTAAGTGCCAGGCTCCGGCCCTCCCTCTGCTCTCCGGAGGTGCCACCACCAGCCCCTTCTCACTCTGACCCCCAGTCAAATCTCACTCAGTAGCCCCCCTTCCCAAGGCCTGTTAGGGATAAGGGGTTCCCCCAGGCTTCACCCCCGAACCGGAGCGCTGAGTGGCAGGCAGTCTCCATCCACCCTGGCGTGCTCTCTTGGGCGTCTCCAGGGCCCTGAGACCCAGCAGGTGTGTCCAGCTGGGGCATGAGTCCACGGCCATGGCCAGGGCAGCAGCCCCTCAGCACGCCTGGGCCCCCACCCCCTGCCACCTCCCAGTCCTTGCCTCAAGTCCCCTGTCTGTGGTGCCCAGCACTGTCCACGCCACTCGTCCACTGCCACTGGGAGCAGCCTTCCTACCCAGCCCCACCTCCCTGGTCACCTCCAGGCCTCCTCAGGGTCAAGGTTCCCCTCCTGGACCACACCCACGCTGGCCTCAGACACCTCACCTCATGGCTCTGCCTTGTGAGGACGCGTGGGTGAGGGCACGTGGGTGCCATCAACCACAACTGCAGGGCACAGGGGCACTGTGATGCCGATAATGAGACTGCAATGACACAGCAACCTCGGCCACCTGAAGTTATGACCTAGAGCACAAGCTCACCAATTCCACAGGACCCAAGAAACTCCCCAAACCACCTTCGTCCAGAGCAAGGAAACGCCCCACAGACAGGAACCTCAAATACTTCCTGGAAACACTTCCAGCGACTGATTTTTATAAAACCACATGGCCCTCGGGGACAGAGCTCCTTTTTTCTAAGGATATTATTGGGCTCTAAAACACAAATGGACGCCGGGCACGGTGGCTCACGCCTGTAATCCCAGCACTTTGGGAGGCCGATGCAGGTGGATCAGGAGGTCAGGGGATTGAGACCATTCTGGCGAACACGGTGAAACCCCGTCTCTCCTAAAAATACAAAAAATTAGCCGGGCGAGGCGGCGGCGCCTGTAGTCCCAGCTACTCAGGAGGCTGAGGTAGGAGAATGGTGTGAACCCGGGAGGTGGAGGTTGTAGTGAGCTGAGATCGGGTCACTGCACTCCAGCCTGGGCGACAGCCAGACTCCGTCTCAAGAACAAATAAATAAATAAATAAAAGACAAATTGACATATTTTCTGTCTTTGTGGTTCTACTATAAAAAGTGAATCACTGAGAAGTAAAATTCTAAAGAATAATTTTTTTTTTTTGAGACAGGGTCTTGCTCTGTTCCCAGGCTGGAGTGCGGTGGTGCAATCATAGCTCACTGCAGCCTCAACCTCCCAGGCTCAAGCAATTCTCCCAGCTCAGCCTCTCAAGTGGCTGAGACAATAGGTACACACCATCATGTCGGTCTAATTTTTGTATTTTTTGTAGCGATGGGGTCTCACTTTGTTGCCCAGGCTGGTCTCAAACTCCTGGGCTCAAACAATCCTCCTGCCTCAGTCTCCCAAAGTGCTTGGATTACAAGCATAAGCCGCCACGCCCAGCCCCACTCAAATGTTTAAAGATACAACTGGCCACATGTTTTGGTCAGAAAATAAGGATGCATAATTTCTTTTTCATTCAAATCAAAGTGAATTTGCCCATCGACATCACTTGTACATACAAGCCCCAGGGCCAGCATGAGGATGTGGCTGGTTTCCTGGGCCCCTGCTGGATGGCGTGGAGGTCCAGGTCTCACTGGCTAGGTCTGGTGCCACCCATGACCTTGCAGACTCTGGCTACCGTGCTGCCCACTCAGGATGGCCTCCAACCCACGGCACCGCCAGGCTGCACTACGCATGCACCAGAGGTGGCTGGGACGCTACACACCTTCAGGGGCCAGGTTTCCTTCCATTTCAAACCACAACATTTTGTTTTGATTCAGGGTCAACCCTCTGGACCGAATGCTCTGACCTGACAGATGGCGCAAGAGCCACACGAGGCCTCGGACACGGGACTCGCACTCGCGGGCGCAGCTGTGCGGCTAGTGCGTGAAAACAGCAGGCTCTGAACGCCTCTGGATGACAGTCGGTGGAGGAGAAACAACTGCTGCCCACAGACACGGCAGCTGCAGAACTAGGCGCCCATCACCGCTAGCGAAGGCCACATGGAGCTGCAGGGGCCACCCATACTGCAGAGACCATGGAAACCGAGGCCCGTGGGGCCAGTGCTGGCCGGGACTGCGCCGCCCGTCCGCCTCACGCCCCCTGTCCCTTGGTACCAGCCCCGGGGCTCCGTCTCAGCTCCTGCTACCATCACGCTGGTTTGATGGTCACCTCCATCTGAGGTTAAACACAAAACAGTTGTCCAAAACATAAAGGTCAAGCCTTCAAGTTCTAAATCAGGCTCCAAAGCGCAGAGGCCTTTCAAACTGTGTGCGAAGCCCTTCAGTCAGTCTGGGGAGTGCAGGGGCCCCAGCTGACAGCTGGAGGGCCTCCAGCATCTGAAGTGGGTTAACTCAGCTACCAGAAGCCGGTGAGACCCTGGAAGGTCAGGGAAGCCTCCTATGAGCTGACCTGACGTCACTCAGCAAACGTCCAGGCCCTGTCTCAGCCACATCTGTACCTACCCCTTGCCAAACCCTCTGGCTTTTGCCAAACTGAAACACTGGTTTACTCTCGTGAAAGCGCAAGCTCCCTCCACCGTGTGGGTGGGGCTCACATGGTCCCCTCACAGCCAAGGCGGCCCTGGCCGCTGGGCCACTCTGCAGCAGGGCCAGGCAGCAGTCAAGAGTGGGGAGGGCTCCCCATGGCCCTGGCAGTGCCTGGAGCACAGCACAGTGCGTGTTGAAACAGGCAGCGAAGCAGAGCCAAGCACCTCCCGCCTGCCAAAGGGAGGAACAGGCCAGCCAAGCCAAGCAACAGAGGCTCACAGGGCGCAGGAATGTCCACGGCAGGGGCAGGGACAGAGATGGCCACAGCAAGCTCCGTGCACGTGTCAGGCGAGGAGGCCAGTGTGAGAAGAACTGACACCCTAGACCCCTTGTTGCCTCTGGTGAGCCCCCTCCCAACCCTGCAGAAGAGAGGTTCATTAGGAAAGTACGGACTGGAGCATTCTAGACAGGAGAGCTGGCCGACCGCACATGAGAAAACGGGCTGAGTGAGCCCTGCTCAGACATCTTGCTTGGGCTGTGAGGGGTGCACAGCCTTACAAAGCCGGGAAGCTGGAGGCCAAAGATCCTCCCTGTCTCCCCAGCCCTCCACACAGAGGCAGGAGGAGGGGACTCTCCGCCCCGACCGTGCAGCCACTGACGGTGTCGGCTCCTCACCCCAAGGGGGATGGGGCAGCCGGTGCCCGTCAGGAGATGTGGAGTGAGTGCCCAGCAGTATGTCCCCTGCCCAGCACTCGCTTCCACCACCTCACTCACCACCTCTGACCACCCTGGGCGTGGCTCCTGGAGAGAAGGTCTGAGAAAACGAGCAAGAAAAATCAGCAGCTGCAAATTCCAGATTTTCAGTCTGTGCTGTCTCAAACATTCCGTGTTCTAGATGGTCCCTGCTATAGTTTGAACGTGTCCCTCCAAATCTCTACCATGGTGTTGGGAGGTGATCAGGTCCTGCGGGCCTACACAGGACACGAGTGCCTCATAAAGGGCTGGAGGGAACCAGCCTCAGTCCTCCGCATCCTCCACCTCCTCCGCCAGGTGAGGACACAGCCACAAGGGGCCATTTTGGAAGCAGAGGCCAGGCTCTCACCAGACGCCAGACATGCTGGGGCCTGGCTCTTGGGCTCCCAGCCTCCAGAACTCGGAGAAATACATTTCTCTTATTTATAAGTGACCTCGTCACTGGTATTTTGTTACAGCAGCACAAACGAACTAAGTCAGTCCTTTTCTTGGTACCAGGAGCTGCTCTAAGCTTTTGGTTTTTCAGTTTTCATCCAGGAGGCACAAAAAAAACAGCTCAGCAGGTGCAGGAGAGGCCCCCATGGAGGACAAGCCTCGTGCCCTTGTGACTGAGGCTGTGGAAGGCACCGTCTGCTCACTAAACCCAAGACCTCCAAAAACGCAGCGGGCCTGAAGGTATAAACACGGCCACACGCACCTCCAGCTTGTCCTTAGGTTCTAGCCTGCGAGGTAACTGCTGGCCCCGAAGCTGCCTGCCTGTCTGAAGAACTCCTCAGGCTCCAGGCGACCCGGCTGCAGGGCCACACAGGGAGCTCTTTCTTTCTCTGCAGCAGCCTCGGTCTCTCTAGAGGCGGCTGAGCGCCTTCGCTACATGGCAAAAGCTTTGCAAAGCCCTAAAAGCACACGCTTT